GTAGAGGGCGCCTCACGGAAGACTGCCTCGTTATGCTGATTTATGGATGCACCCCCGAAAAGGTATTTCAAAGAAAGAGCCGCCTTATGAATTCCTTCAGTGGAATTTACGTGCAGTCCGCACAGGTAATATGCCTACTGAGTTTAATATTAGCGTTGTTTTAATTTATTGGATGACTTTTGGCCCCAATGTAATATATTTCTTGAAGCTCTTTCATGTAACTATGGCACTAGTAAAACTTTTACAACATAATCTATTTAGGATATCATTGCTCAATTAAGCTGGATTCTATGCAAAGGAGAACATCAAAATAAACGTCCTTCTCCTTACACCTAACACAATCAATAAATATATATAACACCCATTTTAGGGATTACTTTGAAAGGTGATTAGTTATTAATTTTAAGATTACTTTTTATGAGTGCCTTGAAAAAAAAAATTTGTTGTTTAACAATTTGTTATTTATTTATATGAATTATATATCATAGATTTTCAAAATTAATTTAGATTTCTACAAACTAAGTTTGGTATTACTAAACCCTAAATATACCTTTCCAATATTCTAATTAAAATAAGACAAAACGGTAAAAGGAAATTCTTGTTTAACAGATACTATAATCACTGAATAAGTGACTGAAAAAGAAAATCTAAAGTGCTTAAAATTCGTAAAGTTTGTCTCAACTCTCATTAATGAAACGGATAACATAAATCTCTCTTGTCTTGTTTTAGTTTAGTCTCATTTTAAATTCCTTAATATCTAATAATGGGTTTGTGTTAAATTCGGATATAAATTTCGGATGTTTAGTTATGTTCATTCACGATATCGCTGGTTATTGCTATGACAGAAAATAATAAGAAAAGCTTCTTTCTTGCATCTCATATTAGCAATTTATCATTTGTGTTTTAATGGGATTTATTTTGATTTCATTGTAATTTTTAAACCTAGATCGTTGGCTAGTTTCTTTCCCACAATAAGCTCGTCTCAAGTTTGAATAATGTTGTCTAAAAATGTGTCCGTCTGCCTAAAACAGATATGTAAGTAACACTTATTATCCTATTTTAAACTTTGCACAGATATTATTTTATTTTATGAAAGAAAAATGTATGTTTAAATTCCCTTTTATAACAGAAATTACTTTTTGCTCTTTTGAGAATCGGTTGTTAAAGACGATGATAGTTCATGTTCATCTACCTAAAGTATATAGCATCTGGTAAATTAAGAAGAAATTAGGAATTTCCTCATCTTTTTCACACGGTTATTTGCTATAATACCAGTCGTGTTATATTTTTACAGTTTCGATATCGCACATTCGCTTTTTAACAGGGATTCGAACTTGAAACATAAATTCCATCAAAACACGCGTTTTTACGATAAAATTATTTTTTTAAAATTTTGTAAAATGCAATTTTGTGACATAGCTCTTAAACAAAAGATACATACCTTACATTTTGTAATTTAACTTTTCTCCTATTCTATCGTATGTAATTATATAACAATTAGACTAACAAATCTCACAAACGACAGTCTGATACTAAAGTATGCAGAGCTCGTGCCATGGTAACCACACTGTTGATAAATATACTTATATATTTCTAAATACATACAATTAGATCAAGAGGAAATGATTGTGCTAATCACACAATTATTTATCCTGGGTGGGAATAGAAACCACTACCGAGGTCCCTACGCATTAGATCATGGGTTCCCGAGTCCGGACTGAGGGTCACTAACCATTAGACCTCAGGCCCGTCAAATATAGATACAAACTTACAGTTCAGTCACGAATTATGAATTGATGAAAGTGATGCTGTAATCAAAAGCGCTAATAAAATTACCGTTATTATGAATAGATATAAAGCCATAATACAGGCTTCATTCCCTATTTACTATCTAATTAATAACTTTGCGATACACCTTAACCGTTAATCACCGAGCTATAGCCATGCGTGCCAAACTACATACCCATTAAATACGCTTAGTGACAGGTTTATGAAAGGACTTTGTGTCTCATCCATACTTGATAATATTTCTTGTCATTTCCGTCAAGTATGAATGTTCGTTACACATTATGTTAATTAACTATTTCTTTTTTAGTCATCACGATCCAAAACGCAATTGTTCGCACAAGAACAACGATTTCGTGGTTATTTCCAAATAACAAGTTGTAAAGCCTCTTTTGCCTAAGGGGAGAAAACTTTGAACGTGCTGTTAGCGAGTTTCTGCCAATGAGTTGGTGCCCTTTTGAACCGCTCTGTTTTCCTGTGTTGCACCGGCTACCTAAGGGTATGGCGGCGAAGTATCGAGGGATCGGAGGTTTGCCCTCTATAGATTCTGTACTTAAAACGGTTGGTCTCCAACAACTACAAAGCTGTGTTATCAGTTCGATACCTATGTAGTCATTTCATCGTTTTCTCGTCGATATGGTATCAGGTTTACATACTGAAAAAACAATACTTTCTTTATCCTGTAGCGAACGTCTGATGTTGATATGGACAAACATAAATGCACAAGACAGCCAATGCAGCGTTTAATATTAGGTTTTTAATGGCAACAAGTTTCCTTATAATTATAGTTATCATTAAGTTATTGCTATGGGCCTGTGGTAGGTACTTTCTTTTAAGTACACTGACTATTGGCACTGCATTAAGTTGGCAGAGATCGCTCGCATCGCTCGCTTGATGGTAACTTGTTACCGTGTACCTATAAACATTTGCTACATTGTCACAGTCAAATATTTGTCACATTTAAAGTGGACAACTTTTTCGACTAAATTTATAGTTAAATATTCAACTTAATGATTTCTACAGTTTGACACAATGACAATCATAAATCAAATGAATTAAACTTAAAATTTGTATGCCTACTTAAATATTCAAGTTGGTGCTTATTGCTGCTACTTTTTCTTGAGAATTACAAGCAGTTGATAACTCTTCAAAATAAAATGTGTTCTTGTATTAATGTCGTTTTAATACTTTATTGAGTTGACACCGACAGCGTTTACATTCATAATAATCTCAGCGTTGCATAAATCAGATGTTTTATGAGCAATGGTGCCAAATAAATTCCATGGGAGTTACAGTACGGTGTATTATCACATTGGTGAAAGCACAAAGTCATTTCAACTTTTAATTAACTGGATTTAATTTTTAATTTGTCTGCGATTGTCGAGTTTTTAAATGGCAAACTTAAGTTGGTGTAATTATAACTTGGTCCGATATGGAACCAGTTAAAACTGCTTTGAAGTTGGAGAAATAACGTTGCACGATTAAACTAATTAGTCAACAATATTTTTCTGATACATTAAGAAGTAATAACAAAAAATTCAACTGACGCCGGATTAATACGAGGGGTGATCAATAAGTAATGATAATCAATATGAAACAGAACTATTAGATTAAAAAAAGTATTTTATTTTTCAACATAGTCTCCTTGCAAGTTAATACATTTAGTGTATCTTTTTTCTAAGCCCATGATTCCCTTAGAAAAAAATTCTTTGTCTTGACCCTCCCAAAATGCCTCTACTGCGGCCATCACTTCACTATTGTCCTCAAATTTGTTGCCCCGGAGGTGTTCTTTGAGCCGAGGAAAGAGGTAGAAGTCACTGGGAGCTAGATCTGGCGACTAGGGAGGGTGTTCGAGCAGTTCGAACCCCGTTTCTTCAATGGCAGCCATCGCAACTGCGGCTTTGTGAGCCGGGGCGTTGTCTAGGTGAAACAGCACTCCAGCGCGCAGTTTACCGCGTCTTTTTGACTTAATAGCTTCTCGCAATCTTCTTATTTGGCCTGCGTAGTAAGAGCCTGTTATAGTGGCCCCCTTTTCCAAATATTCCACCATAATAATTCCTTCTGCATCCCAGAAAACAGACGCCATAACCTTTCCCGCTGAACTTGACACTTTGAATTTCTTCGGCGTTGGTGAGGAAGCTCGTTTCCAAGTCATTGATTGTTGTTTGGTTTCGGGATCAAAGTGGTGGATCCAGGTCTCGTCCATGGTCACAAAACGCGACAAAAAAAATTCTTTATCGGCCTGGAACTTTTGAAGATTCACCCGCGAAATGTCGACTCGTTTCTTTTTTTGCTCGTCGGTTAACATTCTCGGTACCCAACGCGCAGAGACCTTTTTCATATGCATTTTGTTGACAATGATTTTTTGAACGCTGCCATAGGAGATCCCTGTGACCTCAGCTACATGCCTTACGGTCACCCTTCGATCGGCCAACACGATATCTTCCACTTTTTTGACGTTTTCTCCAGTAAGGGACGTGGAAGGGCGTCCCTCGCGATGTTCATCTTCAGTGGAGGTTCTGCCCAGCTTAAATTCCTTTGCCCAGCGTGCGACTGTGGAATATGGAGGAGCAGACTCCCCCAATGTTTCCTCTAAGTCGCTGTGTATGTCTTTGGTAGACATTTTTTTCAGGCAGAGGTACTTGATGACAGCTCTTATTTCATTTTTCTCCATTTTGATGTTTTCTCTTCGACAGTTCGTATTCAAATGAATGTATCTCCCGGTAATGGTGTCCTATTTATACATTTTTTTGAAGCTGAAGTAGTGGATATATAAGCAAGCAGAAAAAAAATAATTTGGGTTTTTGTGCGTTCTAAAAATACTCGATTATCATTACTTATTGATCACCCCTCGTAAATATGGTAAAAGTTATCAAGTTCTTATCCAAATTACGGTATACTTACGATAACATTGTACATTACCGTCGTAATTGTGATGTATACTTATTAAACAAGTTACATGTTAAATAATATTTTTAAGAGCGAGTGGTAGTAATTAACGTTGGTAGAAAAATTGAAATACTTAAATATAAATTATATTTGAATACTTGAAACATAATTGCATGTAAAGATGAAAACTAAAACTGACATAGATAAAGCAACATTATACATATATTACCAATCTGATACAGGAAGCTGCTTGGCATATTACACCACATTTGAAAGCTAGAAGGAAAACCACAAACATACCTTTACAAATATGAGAGAAACTTGCCATGAAAAGAATACTCAAGAGAGTCTGGCAGCTGAGCAGGCGCACGGGTGAAAAAAAACTGTATGAGAAAGTAGCTAGAGAACTGAGGGAAATCATAGCAGAGAATGAGAACTACACATTCCAACAGAAATTGTCATCTCTATCTGTCAAAAAGTGTGATGGAAACTCACAAAACAGTTCAAGACACCTCAACAAGCAGTACCACCACTGAAAGCACAGTCAGGAACATGGGCCAAAAGAAATAAAGAGAAAGCAGATCTCTTCGCTCAACAAGTCAGTCTTATTACCAAATACTTCTACGATGAGAGATTTTGAACAGGAGGTCTATTTTAGCAGTGTCTTGGCTATTTTAGCAGTGACCAGAAGCTATCACCACCTATAAAACTTATAACACCAAGGGAATTAATACAATCAATTAGAATGCTAAGCAATAAAAAAGCTGCAGGCTTTGATTTGACCACCGGCGAGGTCCTAAAACATCCCAATCTTGAAATCCTGCAAAGGTTTCAGAACAAAGCACTGAGTGCAATCTTAATTTCACCATGGCTTGCTAGAAATGTAAAGATACATGAATACTTGGAAATGCCTACAGTCAAGGAGGAGGTAAGCAGATATTATGCTAAATACAAGGTGAGACTGCATAATCACACAAACCAACTCGTTAGAGATATAATTCACACCAACAATGACACTCCAAGATTAAAAACATGGGAAGTAATCGAGTTGGACCAAAGATGCTACAGGTAAGAGGGGCAAGAGAGGGAGAATTTCCAGAAATTCTTCTCTAAATAACAATGAAAAAGCCAAAACATCTGATTATGACTTAGTCGATTGCAGATACAAAAAAAATACAATAAATAATAATATAATGTTCGAACTGTATCTTAGTAGGATACTTTATTAAAATAAACTGTTCGTCTAATTTATGTAGCAGACAAACACTCACGAAATATTTATGTCGTATATCTGTAAAATGATTATTTATAAGCAAGAGCCTATATGAACAACCTAAAGCTATTTACTTAGCTAGGATCTAAAGTGAACCCGTCTAGAGCGTTGTTTCAAATTCTAAATTAGATTTGAGTAAATACTATGTGCACTTAAACCTTACCCGAAGAACATCAACATATTAGACAGGCTTAGCAACGCTTACATTCCCTCTCAGATCTTTGAGTCCCATAAAATTTATAGTAAATGTACAATTATATCCGATGAATACTTGATTCAGGATTTCCCTAAACGAAGCATTACTAGTACCTATTCCACAACAAGCCTGCCCCCTCGATAATAATTTGGCTGATGTCATACTTTTTGCAGATGAGTGAAGCCGAATGGATTTTCCGATAGAATTGCTGGGTTCCATTCGGCATGTATTGTTATGAGAGCACGATGGAACAATCTGAATCCACCCCATTTGTTCCATTTTTGTTAATGCCTATGACGAGTGCAGTATAAATTTAGAACGAAAGGCAACTTTTGTTCAGATAAAGAAAGATGTTTTAGTATAATTGGATCGAACGACATGTTGTACTCTATAAATATTTTAGTAAGGTACCTATCGGTATTTTATTGCAAAATTGTTTAGTGACAATAAATATGCAATACTTAATATCGGTTATTATTTATCGTAAACACAAGATTATTCTAGTTGTATTACAGGAGTAAAAAATGAATGAGAAAATTTCATAAATTAACCCAAGAATTAAGGATAGAAAATACGTGTATAAATTTGTTGTTCGTAAGAAAAGACAATTCGAAATCACTGTACTTATTATAAGGTAGAAAAATACTTAATATAAAATAGAATCTTAATTGAGAAGATAAAAGTATATGATGACAATAATAAATTTTATGCAGTGACAAATGAAACGATCGTGTCACGACTGTAAAGCGCGTCTCAAGATATTATTAAAAATTGAATTAATTTTAATGAAGACGGCTGGTTTCACCAACTCAAACACTTACGTACTTTTAAGAAGGAATATTATTATTTGCTTCTCGGGTGAGTGAAAGGCTAGACAGACAGTGAGAGATTAGAAGAAGACAAAGAATGAAGTGGAAGAGACTACGGCGCTCTTCCATGCGTTATGGAGCCGTAGAATCTTTTGTTGTGACTACAGAGGGCGGGTTAGGCGGGGGTGAATTCTTAATTAAGTGTTGGTGAAGCCCTATCCGCTTAATGCAATGAGTTCACGGCTCGTTTAACTTTCATAAAATTCTCTTAAACTCAACGATTTTTCTTAACTAGCGGAATAAAATTACCATGTGCAAGTAACTCTTTACCATTAAATTATATTTTTTTGTCTTACTGCTACTATTTTCAAAATAATATTGTAACATGGTGTTTGAAATTTTATGTCATGTGTCGAGTATCAAACTTTATTAGTCGATGTTACATAATGGTAGTTTCCTTTCATTGCAAATCATTATAATAATAAATTATTACCCTATAAATAGAAGATGAATATGAGTCCAACTTAAATTGTATTGCCACTTTAACAGAGAGCTTTGTAGGTACTTATTACCAGTCGTTGCAAAACTTTACTGTTGTACTTGTAAGATTACGCTTAGTATAATAAAATTTACTACATAGCTAATAATTTATCAGATACTTAATTATTTATATATAAAAGCGTCGACTTCCGTAAAAGGCTGTTTTCTGATAGCAAAATTGTCTAACAAAGGTTTTCTTTAAAAGGCTATTAAATTACTCGTAAAGGCATATATAAATTGATATCATCAACAGCCTTTAATAGTCCACTGCTGGACATAGGCCTCTCCTTAGAAAGAAGGCTTTGGCCACGCTAGCCAGACGGGTTGGTATACCTGTAGGGTTTGTGTCAAGTTTTCCTTCTCTTTGTAGTGCTGTTGTCCTGCGTAGTTTGCTTCCTTAATCGGCTCTTACGACACCTAGGGGATGAATAGAGGTGATGGCACTCCGTATTCTGAATCCGTCACCACACGGACAAATTGATATAGATGTATAATATAAAAGTTATATTCAGTTTTTCCTTAGAATACGCTTCGCTCATCTTTATCTATCGGGTGTGAAAACTTAGTAGTATCCTATAAAGGAGTAGTATGATTCTTGAGTAAAACTGTGAGGTATTTGATAGAACGCTATAATCGATAAATAATATAATAGTTGCTACAGTTGGGACACTAATCGTTAAATGATCGTACTCAACACACAATTATTTATCCTGGGTAGAAGTCTGACCGCATTCAGGATCGCTAACAACAGGCAATCAAAATATATTTAAGATCGATGGGCACAAATTTCTTTGAATTATATATGAATTAGTAACACGAAATTAGAAAGCGTACCTGTTTATGAAATGAATTATAGCCTAATCAATATTATTTTAATGTTTATCATAATGAATAATTTCTAAATAAAATTACAGATTAGACTTGGATAATTTTAAGCTTCCAAATGAGATTAAAAATAATATATTAATTCATGGCTGTTAACTTCGTCCATAAAACCAGTGATACCATATATAACATTTTTTATTATAATTATTTTAATATGTCAAACTATTTTATGTGATTTTATTACATTTCTTTGAATGTTAAAAAGCCAATTAGGTAAAAATGTATTTCAACGATGGCGGTTATTGGGATGTAATTCTTCGAAAGTCTCCTCATATTTTCACTATGGATATTGCCGCCACAGTCGATTGCCCGACAAGAGCATTTTGTTGCATGAAAAATCGGTAAAAATATGCTTTGGAGCTATCAATCAAGATTATATAGCGATTACTGTCGAGCGCAGGGCTCTATAATAGCCGGAAATTAATACGAGCCTACGTGATAACGTAAATTATATCTATAATTAAAAAATCACTACACTAATTGCTTAGAACTTAAAAATTGTACCAAATATTGTTATCTACAGGCCGATTAAAGTTTAAAAGTTATTCAAATTGACTTCGTGAATTCGATGCATGTTTTATTTAATACCAACATTATTCACAAAATTTTAGCGTTCGACCGTTTATGAGATAAAATTTACTTTTTTCGGAACATTACTAGTTTTTAGGGAATGGAATTTTCCTACAAGTCATATTTTTAAATAATTTAAGGATTAACACCAAAAAGTGCAAAAATGTGTACCTATTAAAAGTTTAAGGTGAATTACTCACAAACACTTTTACTTTTATCTATTAGGAGAACGGAACAAATATTATTAAAATTGAACGTAGTGAAAAACAAATATTATTAAAGTATAAAGCTGTGATATTATTAGCAATAATATCAGAATACCGTAATTATTTTCTGTAATAAAGCTCTCGTATATATAGGTAGTATATTTCACACGTGTTATGACAAGTTTATTGTGTGTGTATTGTGGAAAATAGAAGAAGGTAAATAACAAACAAAAAGAAAAAAATACAAACGAAATATTTTAAAATATTAGTAAAAGTATCGACAACATTACATCTATAAAGACACTGAGTTAGTGTAGACTACCGATATTTATACTGATGCCAATGGCCACTCGATGGCATCTCAATAGCGTGTCAGTGGTATGACAGTGGCTTGCCGTGAACATAAAATAGCAGAATTGAGGCCCAGTACTGCTGTTACATTATTGTTTTATTACCGGTATATGGGGTAAATAGAAATTAACGGAGGGATTTGAATGAAACATCGTACATTAATCATGCCAGCCATTATAAGCACTGGTTGTAAAAGTGATCCTGGTGGGAGCAATAGACAGAAAAAAATCATTCGGAAGGGCACCTTGCCGCTGATCGGATCAAATCAAATTGGCCTTCTATATCCCAATCACGACTCCTGTCCAGCAAGCTGAAGAGATGTAAGAAACCTAGTGGAAACATCAAAGAAAGATTAAGAAATCACGACACGACCAGTTATTGAATAAGAAAAAGAATTGTAAGGTTTTATAGATATGTCTCTACATAAGCTATAGAAAAATTATTTAACCATACAAACAATAACACTAAATTAAATATCCTACTAATATACATCGATTAAGATTAACAAAGAAATAACATGACGTATTAAAATTCATCTCAATTTACCCTCTCTTTTATATCGATTACTATGATCTCCCTTCATAATTCACATAATCCTATAATTGATTCATAAAAGCTCCACTGGCTTTATACAATTAGGCTCACCCTCTACAGATTTATCCGCGATGGATTTCAATGATTAATAGGTATCTGGCGTTCAGCGAAA